AGAACGCAATGATAATACCAACATGGGCCAGTGAAGCGATGTCCTCCACAACTACACTGAAGAACAAAAGGACAGCAACTTGTCTGTTCCCCTTCCCCAATTCCTCAATACTGTTTTCCTCCCCTAATTCCCCAATAAAATATTTAAAAAAAAATAAAATAAAAACACTCTCCAGTACTCTGTTTAAAAGGAAAAAAAAATTTATTTCTGGAACTGGGTGAAGGGTATTTGGGAGAGCGTGGCGGAGTCAAGTGCTCTGGCCTCGAAGGCGGGGCGCAGGGGCCTGGCCAGCAGCTGGGAGCGGAGAACCTCCCCTTTTCCCTGCAGGCCTGGGAACTTTCTCCTTGCCTGCACTTGGAAGAGGCACCCAGGATATGTCTTTCACCCACCCCGTCTCCAGGTTTTCTTTTCTCCACGCNAGCTCAGACCTTTGAGCAAGCGCTTAACCAACTGAGCCACTCAGCCGGCCCTTCTTACCTTTCTTGATGACTGATTTTTCCTTACAGAAATATATTTTGAATGGTGTGCTGGGGGTGTATACGTGTGTATATGAATGACAGAAAAAATGCAACATCTTTTTCTTCATCCTCTATTAGGCATTGTCCAATTATCGCGGGTAAAGCTAGTCCCTTCTTATGCGTCCTTAGGATGTTTTTAAAGTACTTATTTTTCTGATTATAGAAGTAACACATTTTCAGGTTCTTAAATTTGTGAAGTGCATAAAAGCACAAAGGAGAAAGCGATAATCAGATGTGATCATACTGTCCTGAGATAATCACTCTTAATTTGAGATAGCATGCACCTTTATTTTGCCCTTCTTTAAAAATAAGTTAGTTTTTCATATTGAAAAAGAAAAACACACAGACAGTGAGTAAAAAAATTCTCCTAGAACAAGGTTATATAATGCACACTAAATCACCTTCTCCCTGCAGGACCTGACTCTTTTCATTACCCCATCTCTAGTGGCAGCCACTGTTCAGTTTCTTGTGTTTTATTTTATGTATGTGTGTGTATGTGTGTGTATATATATAATTTATATATAACATTTTATTATATAAATATATATAATAAAATATATATATTTATATAATATACATTATATATAATAAAAAATAGAAAGGGAGAATGTATAGTTCCCCCTTTTCGCACAAATGGCAGCATACTAAAAATGCTCTTCAGGGCTGGCCGAGTGGCGCATTGGTTAGGAGTTGGTTTGGAACGCCAGCTCTGAGCAGCAGGTCCCCAGTTCGGATACCACAAGGGCCAGCGAGGTTGTGCCCTCTACAACTAAGATGGTGAGCAACAGCTTGACCTGGAACTGGGCTGCTGAGTCACCAGTGACGGCATAGGCTGCAGTGGGGCTGGCCGGCAGCTGGCGTGAGCTTTCATGAGCTGCCATGAGCCACTGTGAGCAGCCATCCAATGGCCGGTGAGCAACTGTCTCACCCAGGAAGAACGCAATGATAGTACCAACATGGGCCAGTGAAGCGATGTCCTCCACAACTACACTGAAGAACAAAAGGACAGCAACTTGTCTGTTCCCCTTCCCCAATT